ATTCATATTATTTTGGTATCAGAATTTTGTAGACCTCATTTTGGTGGTACCTGTAACTGTTATTATTATTATTATTATTATTATTATTATTATTATTATTAAATATTATTACTGAAATGGTTATCAGTATTATTATTTAGTTATTATTATTGATATGGCTGCTGACATATCTTTTACATGGTCCACCAAATATTATAGAGCGGGATTTCGTATTTTTAACCGTCTAAATCCTGTAACTAGTCTAGGTTAGAACAAGAATCTAATGCTCACTTGAGGTAATTTCCCTTTTATGTACTTCCTGTTGATGGTCATTATTAATAATCATGTGTATTATTATTGTTTTAGGATCGTAACGAAAAATTATTTTACCGACTTCTATGCGAACATGTCAATGAATTGATGCCAATTGTTTATACACCAACTGTTGGTTTGGCTTGTCAAAATTTCGGTTACATTTACCGAAAACCAAAGTAAAAAAAAATTCAAAGATTTATTACATGCAACAAGTCTTTTGAAAAATTTTAATTTATGCAAAAATCTGGAAATGCTAAAACTTCTAAGAGATACTTTAAGCATGATGTTAAAATCTATACCTAAAAATTCATTCGTTTCAACAAAGATGATTCTCCAAAAAAAAAAAGGGAAAAAAACTTACAAAAAAATACATATGAAAAATACGTACCAAATTCTTACATACAAACTTTATTAATTTCTGATGATGGATAATACAGTTTTGCATATATTATTGTATAAGTCTAAATCAGAACTAAAACGATTTTTCCTTTCTTTCTTTTTTAATTTATAAGTTGAATAGGATATGCTTAGCAGAAAAATATGTATTAAAAGAAAGAAATTCACTTTTTAGGAAATTGTTTTTGAAAAGATACTGAATAGTAAATATTATTTTTTTTTAGGGCGAGTCATTTTTGTTGAGGAAGCGAAGTTTTCGAAATAAAATTTAAAATCGGTGTTTTTTCTGTAAAATTTGCATTTCCATTTCAAAAAATCTATTACATCAAAAACTATTCAAATTCAATTGGTAAAATTTGTCAGCTATAAATGAATAAAATGCATAATAATTACAGAGGTCTTTATATAACAATCAATGATAATAGCATCAGCAAAATTCATCATATCTTATCTAACTGGCCAGAAAGTGATGTTAGAGTAAGTTTTTTCGTTTTTATTTTTTAAACATGAAGCAAAAATGTTAGGTTCAATTTAACATTTTTTAATGGTTCTTGCTAAGTTTGAAAGAATTCGCAATAAAGCATTGACTGTTACTGCTTCTGAGTGATAAATATTTTATTTTAACTAAATGATTTTTCGTATGGGAAAGCAATGATGAAATACAACTCAGTGATTATTTCGATATTTGGAAAGAAGAAATTGTTGAAATTAATAGAATCATATAAAACAAGATTAATGCTTAAATTTTTTTTTTTTTTTGTTTAAATTTAGTATACGTACAAGCGATAATAGTATATGAACGATTGTTGAATCCAAAAATTTTTCAATATATATTCTTTCAGTTGCTCTAATATTCCAAAAATGGGATAAATAATTTTTTTTTTCACTATTTCACATAAAAATATGCTTTAAAAAATTTTTGACTGTGATGTTAAATAAATAAATAATGCAATATAATTATAATTTCCTTCTTTCTCTGGAAATTTAAAATTCACGGAAGCTTAACATTTAATTTTTATTTTCAGGCAATTGTAGTAACAGATGGAGAGCGTATACTTGGTTTAGGTGATCTTGGATGTTATGGTATTGGAATACCTGTTGGGAAACTTGCGTTATATGTTGCTCTTGGTGGTGTGCAACCAAAATGGTGTCTTCCTGTTCTGTTGGATGTTGGAACGAATAATGAAGTAGATGAGACAAAAATCTTGATAATTTTCTCATCCTGCAATCTTTTTTCTTACAAAATGTCACAAATATTTTATTTCAGGAGCTTCTGAATGATCCATTTTATATCGGATTGCGTCGTAAACGTGTCCGTGGAGCTGAATACGATCGACTTATCGAGAACTTTTTCTTAGCTTGTAGAAAAAGGTACTTTTAATTTTTCTTTTTTTCTTGAAGTTTTTTTTTCTCTTAAATTAAGAAAATCCGTACATTTTCATACGGTTTACGAGGTATGTATTATTTTCAACAGTTATCCTCATGTTTTGTGTGAAATTAATTATAATTCCTTCCTAGTTAGGTTTCTATACTACGGAAGTAGGAATTGCTATTCAATAAGAAGCAACACAAGTAACCAAAAAAAAAAAAAAAAATGGCAAGCATGACTGAGCAGCTGAAATAAATAAGATTGTAAAAAAAGAAAGTTGATTTTAAATAATTATTTTTGGTCAGTCATAGGAAGGACTTAAAAAATATTTTTATTTTACTTATTAGATTTCCAGAGTTGAAAATATAGCGTGAAGTATAATAGTATTAATAAAAACAAATTACATGACGGCAAACTTTGAATTTAAAATTCTTTTTCTTTTCCTTTTTTTTTTTAACTTAGACGGCAAATAGATGACAGTAATTTTTGAGATGAAAATAGATGGTGTTGATGGTATATGATGACAGTAATCATCGATTATTTTTATTTTAAGAAGTTACACCTTTAAAATAAATGTATTTTGTTCTTTTTCATCAAGGTTTGGACAAAAAGTGCTCGTTCAATTCGAAGATTTTGCCAATCAGAATGCATACCGTTTGTTGGATATCTACAGAAACAAGTATTGCACATTCAATGATGACATACAGGGTATGTTAATTTCTTACTTTTTCTTTTTCCTTTTAACTCTTATTTTCCACATTTTTACCTGTATTCATTATCAGTTATATCTTAATTTACTGCATAATTTCTTTTTTGTTTTTTAATATTTGAATCACTTTGTTTATTTGGTTATCTTACTAATATTTATTTATTTATTTATTTATTTGTTTATTCATTTCTCTTTTTATTTATTTATTTTTTTTTATAGGAACTGCATCTGTTGCAGTAGCTGGTCTTTTAGCTTGCTGGAAGTATACTGGTAAATCACTTGCAGAGGGAAAATTTGTTTTCTTGGGTGCTGGAACTGTGAGCTTATTTATTTGAATTTTAATTGAATTAAAAAAATCTTCAGAAAAAAAAATTCTTTCTACACAGTAACT